CGTGTTGGTGAGCGTACTCGTACGCTGACAGGATGGATCCTGTCTGCGTCCGAGCGAGGAAACGCGCACCCCTACGGACCTGCACTTGAGGTGAGCGGAGGGGAGCATACGGCCGCGTAATCCGATAGAGAAGGACGGGGGCTGCGTAGTAATCACACGCAGCACCTGTCCTTCCCGGGAGCTGCTTGGTACGGCCCTGCACGCAGCACGGACCTGTACGCGTGGGCCAATTCCTGTGTGAATGAGGGGTAAAGAAGATGTGTTTCACTTGATATTACCTGGCTGTCAGTGTCATGATCTGTGAGTATACCACCTTTGTCTATTCATGTAAAGCAATTCATAGCCTACCTCCTAACTGTCCTTTATTTGGAACCAAGTCCCTCTCTCTTTCTCAGTTGTCCCTCTTTCTGGTCTGACATACAGATATCTATGAAATGTTCAATTTATCAACCAAAAGTGTTATTCTGTAACGAATCCTTCATCCTATCTTGTTTCATCTTAGTAATCTTGTTTACTATTTTTAAAAAACCGTATAAGGGAAAAGTAAGTGGTGCAAAAAAAACCCATAACCAATTATTTGCTTAACCAATCATTTTTGGCATATAAATTAATGGTCTGTATAACCGGGGGTCATGGCAGGGAGTGCACTAGACATTTGCACGGCAAAAAAAATTGCTTTCTGACTAAACAAATGAAAACAAAAAACATTTCCATTTGTTTCATCAAAGAAAATAAATGTTTCTGCCGTTTCAGATTTGGAGGCAACGAACCTCCAAATCTGAAACCGCACACTGAAAATGCAAAAAGAGCGGCGGCCATGTCGGCTGCCTGCGCATCTCTGCTTGCACGCCACCTTCTTTCCGTGTATCTTAGTATATACCAAGATATACAGTTGTGTGAAAAAGTGTTGGCCCCCTTCCTGATTTTTCATTGTTTTGCACGTTTGGCACACTTTAATAATTCAGATCATCAAAAAAATGTAAATGTTAGTCAAAGATAACACAAGTAAAAACAACATGCAGTTTTTAAAGGAAGGTTTTTATTATTAAGGGAAAACAAAATCCAAACCCACATGGCTCTGTGTGAAAAAGTGTTTGCCCCCTCCCTGTTAAAAACTTAACTCTGGTTTATCACAGTTCAATTTCTCTAGCCACACCCAGGCCTGATTACTGCCACACCTGTTCGCAATCAAGAAATCACTTAAATAAGACTTGACTGACAAAGTGAAGTAGACCAAAAGATCCTCAAAAGCTACACATCATGCCGAGATCCAAAGAAATCCAGGAACAAATGAGAAAGGAAGTCATTGAGATCTATCAGTCTGGAAAAGGTTATAAAGCCATTTCTAAAGCTTTGGGACTTCAGCGAACCACAGTGAGAGCCATTATCCACAAATGGCGAAAACATGGAACAGTGGTGAACCTTCCCAGGAGTGGGCGGCCAACCAAAATTACCCCAAGAGCACAGCGACGACTCATTCAAGAGGTCACAAAAGACCCTACAACAACATCCAAAGAACTGCAGACCTGACTTGCCTCAGTTCAGGTCAGTATGTTCATGACTCCACCATAAGAAAGAGACTGGGCAAAAATGGCCTGCATGGCAGAGTTCCAAGACGAAAACTGCTGCTGAGGAAAAATAACATAAAATCTTGTCTCCGTTATGCCAGAAAACATCTGGATGATCCCCAAGACTTTTGGGAAAATACTCTGTGGACTGACGAGACAAAGTTGAACTTTTTGGAAGGTGTGTGTCCCATTACATCTGGCGTAAGAGTAACACCGCATTTCAGAAAAAGAACATCATACCAACAGTAAAATATGGTGGTGGTAGTGTGATGGTCTGGGGCTGTTTTGTTGCTTCAGGACCTGGAAGACTTGCTGTGATAAATGGAACCATGAATTCTGCTGTCTACCAAAAAATCCTGAAGGATAATGTGTGGCCATCTGTTCGTGACCTCAAGCTGAAGTGAACTTGGGTTCTGCAGCAGGACAATGATCCAAAACACACCAGCAAGTCCACCTCTGAATGGCTGAAGAAAAACAAAATGACTTTGGAGGGCCTAGTCAAAGTCCTGACCTGAATCCTATTGAGATGCTGTGGCATGACCTTAAAAAGGCGGTTCATGCTCGAAAACCTTCCGATGTGGCTGAATTACAACAATTACAGTACAACTGCAAAGATGAGTGGACCAAAATTCCTGCACAGCGCTGTAACAGACTCATTGCAAGTTATCGCAAACGCTTGATTGCAGTTCTTGCTGCTAAAGGTGGCCCAACCAGTTTTTAGGTTTAGGGGGCAAACACTTTTTCACACAGGGCCATGTGGGTTTGGATCTTGTTTTCCCTTAATAACAAAAACCTTCCTTTAAAAAACTGCATTTTGTGTTTACTTGTGTTATCTTTGACTAATATTTAAATTTGTTTGATGATCTGAAACATTCAAACAAACAAGTGTGACAAACGTGCAAAACAATGAAAAATCAGGAAGGGGGCCAACACTTTTTCACACAACTGTATACTGAAAGATGGCAGCCACTATGGCCATCGCTCGTTCAGCGTGTGACGTCACAATGAAAATGCAGAATGAGCAGCAGCCATGTTGGACCCCGGCGCATTCTACGCCTGCACGCCGCCATCTTTGAGTGTATCTTGGTATACACCAAGATGGAGATGCCAGTATGTTCGGGCACCGCCATCTTGGTGTATACCAAGATATATACTCAAAGATGGCAGCGTTCTGCAAACAAATTTATGTAAGCACGAATATAGTTTTAGTGTATTCGGGCATATAATACATTTGTTACTTCTGATTCGGACGAGCCACCGAATCAACTGAATTCCGTGGATTTCAAGGTTCGTCCAAATCCGAATGCACTGGGGATGTTACTGCAATGTCTAGGGTGCACATATATCAGCATCACTAATGACAATTCCCCAGAACTAGCATATGGTTTGGAAGTAACAAAAATCCAATCTAACAATTTAATGCATTATTTTTTCCATGACTTCTGAAATCTAAGTTTTTGGCATGGAAATGTGATCAGTACAATTTTATCTAATAAATTAAAAATAAAGACAGAGAGGGAAAGTTATCAAAACTGGTGCTGGCAGAATCTGGAGCAATTGTCCATGACAAACAATCAGCTTCTATACTTCATTATCAAAGCTTAAAGGAGAACTATGGGGTTAGGGCTTTTCCCCATAGTTCTCCTTAGGCCTTGTTCACACCTGAACGTTTTGTAGCGTGTTCAACGCTCGACGAACGCTCTACAAAACGCTCAAACATCGAAATCCCATTGTATTCAATGGGTCTGGTTCACACCTTGCCGTATTTCCGCCCGTCCGAACGCGATACAAAACGGCCTACGCCCAAAGAAGTACATGTACTTCTTTGGGGCGTTTTGGTCTCGCGTTTCCATTGGGATACAGCCAAGTAGCCCTCAGAAACGGGCGTTTGTCGCGCGTGTTTTTTACCGCGAATCGCGGTAAAAACGCGCATATACAATATGCCTAGGTGTGAACCCAGCCTTAGGGTAACGGGAGGACACAAACTAGCGTCCTCCCGTCACCCTAAGCTCAGTATACCGCGAGCTACAGCTCGTACAGCTACTGAGACGCCGCAGCTGAAGCGGATCCTGACAATTATGTCTAGCTGAGTGAGTGACAGCTGGGCTCTGCCTATCTAGAGGCAGAGCCAGCTGTACCCGCCCCCTCCCCCGTCCATTCCGCCAGTCAGCGCTTGAGGATCGGAGCGGGGAGATGGGAATCCAGTCACTCCCCTGTCACGGCAGAGAGCCGTGACAGGATCGAGAAGTGAGCGAACGCCGGTATGTGTTCGCTCACCTCCCGATCTACTGAGCTGACCTGTGACAGTCTCGTTGTCACAGGTCGGCTAGAACTATGAGGATGAGTGAAAAGCACTCACCTCATAGTTCTCCTTTAACTGAACAAACTGAAAACATAATCTGATTAGTTGCTATGGACAGCTGCTCCAGATTCTGTCTGCTCCAGTTTTGATAAATTCCCCCCAAGTATGTTTATGTACAAAAGACACTGGGCATGTGTCATACAGTTACATATTAGATTATGACTTCATGAATTGGTTTTATAAGTTATATGCTGAAGCCTTCAAAAACATTTTTAAAGCTACATTTGCATTCAAATGGATGGAAATGAAATCTTCCACTCTTAGAACTAAAGAGAACCTGTAAAAAAGCTTTTTGAAAATGTAAAATGCTGTTTACAAGCAAAGATTAACCAATCCTCTTGTGTATGGGGGCTTCAGGGAATTTGCCAGAAGGATTTGAGTGTCTGACATATTTTGTATACCTGTATAAACTATTGTAAGCTTCAGTCAACTCTGTTATACTGTAATACAAATAATCATAAAATTCATATACAATACACTCTGCATGCTCGCCAAGACACCGAGGGTACCCATCAACAAGAGGATTGCTCCATCAAGCAAAGTTCAGTTCTGGATGGGATATTGTTTTAAATGGTAAATGATGAAGTCTAACCTGTGCCAAGTGCGAGTCATGATGAACCTCTAAAAAAAAAGAACTGTAAGAACTGGCACTGCTGACTTGGTTATAACAGTGTAAACTTTAGGGTTTTCATCATAATCTTAACCTAATGATCTACTGGATGACCAACCTGGAAAACCTCCAGGCCCATGCCCATGGTGCCACTTAAAAGGGGGGGGGTTCTGCTCCGTGGATCAGCAAAGATTTGCCAACCCATGTAGATAGCTGAATTTTTCTCTATCCCCATCCCTCTCCCATACAAATCTCCCCGCCTGGCTCTTACCAACCAGGGACGCTCTGGCCGGTGCCCCGCATAACTTCTGGTAACCAGTGACGTCACTGGTTGCCAGGAGCTGGACGGGATGCCAGCCAGAGCGTGACAAGTTGCTAAGTGCTGGGCGGGGAGATGTGTACACATTCCAACCCAAGATGACTAATGGATACCAGATTTAGAAGAAAATGTTGAGTACAAATGCAATAGTTTTACACATGTATAACTTTATGGTAAAACTCAGTGGTAAATTAGACAAATACTAAGATAGAAGCATTTACAGCTTTCACTCAGAGTGCTGTGTTGATAGTCTCCGAGTGTTATTTGTACAATGCCAGGTAACATTAAAAGAATACTGTTTGGATGGAAGCATAATACGTTAGTCTGTGATCAGAGCTCTTCCTTGTCTCGGCTTTTGATCTGGAAGCTACTAATAATGTTAAGTCTTTTCTGGAGATCTTCCTTCTTGGATTCACTCATTTTGTTCTTTTCAATCAGTTTCGTAATGCGCTCAAACTCGCTGCTGGCAAAGTCCTCTCCTTGATCAATGATTTTACTCATTATCTTGAGATATTGCTCTGCAGACTTTTTTTCCACCTCTCCGACATCTGGCAGCAAGGCCTGACCCTTCTTTAGTAGTTCACCTTTCTCTTCAATACTGGATGACTTGATGAATTCTCCTGCCAGTATATCATATTCCTCAAGGCAGCCCGGCATCCCCAAGTATACCCCATGGGTCTTCAACCAATGTTGGATGGCGCTCGCCTTAACCACTCCAGTATAGGGTATAGGATTATCAATGTTGCCATCCACAAACAGGTAGAAATAAGGGTAGTTTTCTTTATCCAGCTTGTACCTCTCACCCAGCTCCGTGTTTAGCTTATCTCCATAATCTATCAAATAATATGAAAACCACAATTCAAGTAATAGAAGAATCTTAATGATTTTTTTATGTAACACTTTCATAAACAGCTTAGTACAGAACAGGAACAAAAATTCAACTAATTATAGTTTCAGACATTCAATTATAATCTATTTTATATGAAGATTGCCTGAAAAACAATATATACCAACTTGACAATAAAGCACACATTAACACTTAACTTCACCCCCTAGAGTCCTAAGTGTCTTAAAAGAGAACTATGGGGTAAATGGTTTTCCCCATAGTTCTCTTTAGGATCATGGGAGGACATATACGAGCCTCCTCCCGTGACCCAAAGCTCAGTATATAGCGGGCTATTGTCCGCGATATACTGAGAGCGCTGCAGCCGGGACAGATCCAGACAATACTGTCAAGATCCACCCAGCTACCTGAGTGACAGCTGGCTCTGCCTATCTAGAGGCAGAGCCCGCTGTGCCCGCCCCCTCCCCTGTCCGTTCCCCTACTCAGTGATGGAGGATCGGAGGGAGGGGAATCCCTGCAGGGAATGGAGACTGACAGTCACCGCTCACTGCAGGGAGACGATCGGGAAGTGAGCAGATTGGCTGCATGTTTCTGCTCACTGCCTGATTGATAGAGCTGACCTGTGACAGCTTTCTTTGTCACAGGTTGGCTCTAACTATGAGGATGAGTGGAAATCGCTCACCTCGTAATTCTCCTTTAACTCTTAAATTCTGACATAACACTTAATCTGACCCTAATACCTAACACTCAACCTAACCCTCCCCAATGAATGTTAATACAACCTACCACCTAATACCCAAACCTTAACCCTTAAGTATAAACTTAAACATTACTCCAAATTTCCAGAGTCTATAATACCCCAAGATTGAACCCTAAATGTACTTCTTGTTCCATATTTATACCTAGTTCTGTGCCAGTAGAAGCCTCACTAAAACATCACAGCTCTGCACTGAATTATATTGCACCTAGCTGACAACAACTATTCTTTTGACAATATATATATATGACAATAAAGACATTTTGGACACAGATCCTTGGTGTGCTGGTGGCATATTGTACTCTTTGGCTGCTTTGGGTAACAGATGCCCTTAGAACACATCTGTAATATATTTCCAGTACTGGTAGAGGAATATTATAACTGTGGGCATTCTGCTTGAGGTCAGTGATCGCATAGCTTTGCCTATATGCAGTAGTTTTAAAGCTAAAGTTTATTAGAACTATGAGGTGAGTGGAAATCACTCATCTCATAGTTCTCCTTTAAGTACCTTAACTATTAACAATACCGTACCTTATTTGTGTATCACTCAGCTGTTGATCCTCAAATCATCTCTGAATTGGTGCTGACTAGACATGTACGCCGGCAAAAAAGGTTGTGGGGAAGAGGTCCTTGTCCTCATCAGCATGGGGACAAGTGCTTTTCAAGGGGGTCCCTCCCGGCAAAGCAACCTCCCCATGTCGAGGGCATGTGGCCTTGTATGGTGCGGGGG